GTCAGAGGACATGCCTGGTTCAGAGGGTTAATAAGTATGAAAAAGTTCTAAAACTTATTTTCCCATTTGTATGAGCTACAAGAGTGTAGATTGAGGTTTGAATGCCTTCTGAATATACGATAAAAAAGGTTTTAACACAAGGTATGGGATTAGCTCAAATGCGCAGGGTTTTAAAATATAAAAATAAAATGTGCACAAACATCAGCTGATCATAGGTTGGTTCTGCTTTTGACTGTTGTTTGTCTTCTCATCCTCAACACCAACTATCATCCAGATTCCACCTGGTATCTCCCTCAAACCTCATTCCCATCCAATCCTGATCAAAATCCTTATATCTCCAGTAATTTAACGAATTAAATTGTCATTTGCAATCTTGCCAGAGTTTATCCGGATGCACTGTGCCTCAAACCCAGACTGGTGGATGCCCTCAGAGGAGCAGATCAACAAAGTGTTCAGCGACGCCGTCGGTCACGCCCGTCAGGGCCGAGCGGTCGGCACGTTCCTGGGCAGCAGCGGCAGCAGCACCAGCAGCCTCTACATGGACGCCTTTGACGGACATTTGTCGCAGGACGAACTGTATTTAAAAGGCTGCCAGAACGGCCAGTCGGACTGAAGTGAAGGGAGAAGTTAAAGACAAATGCTTGAAATGTAGCTGTACAACAACATATCCCAAAACACCGACCTTATCCTGTCACAGTGACGAAAACATTCCAGAAGTTTATCACACAGAATATAACTACAGGCCTCTTTTCAAATAGTTTTGTAGCTTTTTTGTCCTTTTTTTATACAGAAAATTTTGTTTATTCAAAATTTGACTTTTAAGGGTTTTAAATTGAACACAGTTTGAGTCTTCCATGCTACTTCTTCTATGGTTTGATGTTATGTCACCATCAGTGGAATATTTCTGTTTGGTTTGTTCGGGATTGAGTCACTTCAACACAGTTGTTTTGTGTTTAACTTTTCTCACACACATCTTTAGAGGTCTTCAGGAAGTTATTTGTGTTACTGACCAAATTCTATCCATCTCTGACGCTGCACCTCTGTCACCCTCATCGTGGAAAGTAGCACTTAATAATTTTGACGAACGGCGAAGCACCTTTACTTGCAACCTTTCTACAGGAGTGCCTCTGAGAAAGTCATGTTTCTGTTACCTGTAGTCTTGCACTTTGCATCCACATTTTTAAAAAAATGAATTCTTATGTGTGTCATTTAGTTTCTTAAAAAAGAAAAGTGCATTTAAACAGAACGTTGAAATCCTGCTTCCTTTTGATAGAAGTTTTGGTCAGTGCTGCACAGCTCCTAACGTTCTTGTTAGAAGAAATATTGCGAAACTTCTAGAAAATTCGGCACACAGACACCTTCAGTGTTTACTCGCAACTTTTAAAAGTAATAACTAAATTTGCTCCCCAGCTTAACTTCAACCAAAGTTTTCCTCCTCTCAAACTCAAATAATTGCCTCTGCAGAATTGCTCACATCTGCAAAGGCTACATGAGGTCTCCTAAATTACTTTGAATGGCTGTGTGTGGCAGCGATGACATGCTGATGTTTGTTCCACACAGTGAACGCCTTGTAATTAATAAAACACACAGTTTGGGGAACGAACTAAAAAAACTAGAAAATGCAAAAGACTGTTTCTTTTTTTTTATTTGAATGTCTCCATTTTATTTGCTCAGTATTTTTAAACATCCTGAAAAAAAAAAGGATTTTCGAAACCTACCAGAAAGGATTATCTGTATTTTACTCCCTTGTTATTTTGTTGCAGAAGCCTTTTTATGTTCAGATGGATCAAATCTTTTGGTTTAAGGCAGCTGCCATATAATAATGCCTTAAACCTGTTAGAAGACCTCCACAGTGTAAAGTGTGAAAGCTGTGCGTCAGAAATCCTGTAACGTGTGTTGTTTCTGTCTCACACTAAAGTTTCATGATAACGACAGAAAGTATCCACTTCTAAACTAATAGCAGTCGATCCAAGTGGAAAAAATTTGAGCACTTCTTTTCCGAAGCTCTTATTTGCACTTTTAAGTGTCTCACTGTAGCCGAGGCAATCCTACAGCGAGACGTCCTTAAGTGGAATTTAAGCGTTTTTATTCTTTGACTTTGTATTTATTTAACTTGACACTCAAGAACTTCACTTCATGACACTGTTTTCTACGTTTGAATGTACCAGAGTCAGTTCGCCACGTCGACAGTGCTGTGTAAATGTGTAATATAAAGTACAGTTATTGTGCGAGGTGTTCTTGAAATACCATGTCTCCCTCTTTAAAAAGCCAAGTAGAAAAGTGCCACAGAAACCTTAAAACTGTTGGATTCTGTCGTTGTGTTGCTGTTCTGAATGTGAGCATTGGTTTGTATTTACTCCTTTACCCTCAAAGTGGCTGTTATCAACACTGTGAAGCATCAGTCGGATTTTTACCAATCTAAGAGTTTCTGTTGTTTTGGTTTTTTTATTTATAATAAATAAAACAAGCACTTAAGCT